ACATGAATATAACTACCAATATAATATTAACGAGACAGCACAGTAAAAATTAATGAAAGTTTATATCAATGTGCGATTACATCAGTCACTATTTTTGACACAAGTGGATATTTAGACGAAGTAATGAGAAGACGTAATTTGTCCGAGTCGTGTAGTGTTGTATTTGTGCAACACATTTTAGACAATCTGGTCACGCATGGACTTGTTATAGGAATACATATGAAATTAATACAGTTAAAAGTTTGGAAAATAAATTTAGGTGGAATTAAAACCACATATTGAAGGTCAAAATAACAATGAAGATTACTAAACCAAATATCTGAGGGACTAGTACATCTACCCTGACTAGTTTCAAAACAAAGTTTAACAAAGGTTTCGTGTGATGACGAATAGTCTTGGAATTCACAAAAGTGGTTTAAACTTCCTAATCACACTTCGGTTCCCACAAACTTTAGAATGCAATCCAAACACGTTTTACAGATAGGTTTAAAGAATGTGCAAACGCCAGTTTTATGACCTGTCCCTATAATATGTTTCGAAATAGAGGAGCTGGGACCCCATTAATAACTTCTGAAGATTCTGTTGCTTCTGGAGGCATTTAGGAATATGATGCGTAGCCCTTACTTGCAAAAATCGATGAGCCTTCCCTAAATGGATATAGCAACCACTTCTAAACCTTACGTCCATAGCTTTAAGAGATGTCGGACACTACTTCTACGTGGTTTTAAAATAATTTGGTGAATTAACTTCGAACAAGCGCGAATGTGGCGTCAGGACAATGACAAAAATCGGAAGTTTATGAAACCAAACTCACTAGTAGGAAAAAGTGACGCACACGTCAGATGTCTTTACGTACCTGATCACGAGGATGGTATTGAAATCCACCAAATTACTAAAATGTTGCAGTGTGCATTTAACTCACTTAAAAACTTCGGCAGAAAACAGTGAATGTTATAAGTGATCGTAAAACATATTGCAATTTCTGCCCATTTGTGAACACTAATTTTCGCTTGTATCTATGCATTCTATTGACTTTCCTCTATCAAAACAACACACAGAAGTGCGGGAGGATGCAGGAATTCGATATCAACCATATTCTTTGGTTCCTGCAGCAGTAATAGGTACTGCACAATAGCTGATAGGGAAATTTGAGATCGAGTACAAGTTTCCGCCAATCTGCAAAGAAATTTATCGAATGACAGTCGTTGAAATGTACGCGAAGCTTACTCGGTATGCCAAAAATCACTGCATGAACCATGTATTTAAGCGTCCTGTCACACAAGCAATCAGCAAATGCTCAAGAACAATATCGAACAATAATTTTCATATAAATTCATCCAACAAGAGCAAAATAAGCAGCGAAATAGCGTCTACTACGTTTGCTGGACGACTAGCCACAACTCGAATCAACGAAACCGCGCAAATGCCGTCAAGGTTAAGCCAAAGGCGCCACTTCAAACAGGGGATATGCTTTATCGACGCCCTGGTATTATGATCTGTAATTTTAGCTTGACTGCGATACATTCACTTGGCGAACATCATGTCCATGCAGAAATTACAAAAGATTTAATAATACACATACGATTATGGTTTCAATATGAAGTCTCCAAGCCAAATGTACCAAAATAGGGGCATACACTTGTCACAGCTACATTCATACACCACTAAAGTGGAAAATCTACTAGTCCTTAGTGAACTTACTATGCAAATATTGTAAAGTAGTTCCTGTGTTTTAATTTTTTCTGTACTGAGAGGAGAAGCAAAGCATTCACAACCTTTTAGTTCATGTGGACCTACAATGTACTGGAACTAGATGAGCAATGGTATTTATACTAATAAAATGGGAAAAAAGTCTTCTCTGTCTTCCGAACAACTTATCCCTATTCCAACTAGAACAATAACATTTCTTCAAGTATGAACCTGAGATTTGTTTCTGAAATCGGAACCTTCCAGTAATATTGACTTTCCACAAAACAAAGGCGGTTAGAGAAACAAGTTTTTAGCCCTGCTACAAACTATTCATAAAGCTCATGCAGTGGTTCTTAAAATGAGAAACAGACCGTCTTAAGTAAGTGAAAATAAAATAATGCTGAAACTGCGCTGTAAATACGAACAACTACCAAATCTTATAAAAGAATGACCATCGAACAAAAAAAATATTCTTTTAGATAACTTCTTCATCAGGAGCCGCCATTAAGTATACTTAATGAATGAACTAGTGTTATTAACATTTAAATAACATCGAATCAATAACAACGCCAATGAATTACGGTTAGATAGCATCAACACAAAAATAAACCGAATGTCAGAATATTAGGAAACATATTAGTATGAATTTGCGAATTTATATTCTATACTGAAGACCAGGGCAGTAGTAGTGGCTGAACTTGCTTTTTTTGTACACATACATCAATTAAGTCGATAACATTTCATTGAATGGGCAAAATATACTAGCATGATTTCATGAAAATTAAAAAATATACGTTTAGATTTTAGACCTACTGGTTTATTTGATTCATTACATTGTTCATGCATACTTATCAAGAGACATTTTCCGATACAAGTGCGGGAAATGTAATGCCTATGATATTGTGTAAGTCAGAACATTTTTAATGTGAAATAACATTTGGGAAGCATACAAAAATATAAGTGGTCAGTAAATCACGATGACGATGATTTAGGAGGATACAGTTAGCGGGAATATACAACAAAGCTACTTGCCTCTAGTTAGCGCCTAGCAGTCATTTAACAAGATGTAATTTCAGTTGGTATTGGGCTCCAAAGAAGGCAACACTAAATAGTGGGAAAGTTTGTGGCAGCGGCTTGTCTGTGGGTAGCAACCTTTTGAAGGCAGTCGTAGTATCCCAATCATTATGGGCTTTTTATTTATCAATGTTATAGATGAGTTACCGTAGAGTTAAATAGTAGCTTTTCAAGATGAGCAAACTTACTTATCACCGATGGAATCGACCCAGCCAGCTTAAAGGAAGAGAAGCAGAGATCACCATCCATTTCGAAGACAAAAATATAAAAAGACAGCTTGCTGATTGTTCTTCTGCTGTATTTCATCACTAATATATTCTCTCCGTACCTGGCTTCTCAACCTTGGTCTGGTTCCACACTAGATCAGTTAAGAGTTATTTCAAATGGATAGCCATTCCATAACTTTTTTAAGCTTTTGTCACCACATTAACAAGTATTGAGCCACCCTTTGTTATTTGAAATATAAAGACGGTGCTGGCTGGACTTATTTATCACGTACTGTTGAATTCCGCTTGGAAATTTTTTTTGCCAATAATTTTTAATAAAATTGTGTTATATGTTATCTAGATTGAGGGAAATTCCCATTTTTTGTTGGTTATGTTGGTGTCCGCGTCATGTGATCTGACTGCGACACACTTTCAGCATATTGGTTGTAATGATTAGTGTTTCAGGCGGACTGTATCAAAATACCGGTGTAATAAGGAAGATAGGATAGTTAGAGCATGCCACATGTAGGCATAATGCTTAAGAGCTAGTTATGCAAATCAAGGTAAACGCTTGTACGGTACATTCATTATTTACAAAACTAACTCGTATGTAAGAGCTATGGTTTGGTCAGTTATACAACGTTTAATACATTTAGACACAACTAACCTACGATGCTTACTTCTATGACGCATTACCTAAAGCTACGTAGTTACCTTAAAGTGACTTCCGCTGAAGGTAACCTCCTATAGCTACTACCTTAGTGTGCAACTTAACGTTATCTTTGAATAACGTTCAAAGGTATCCACCCTATCACCTCAAACGATTCACTATTTGCAGTCATTTAATAAGTAAAAATAAATTTACCGATGGCAGCTCGCTTATGATTTCTAGATATCATAATGTACCATGAGGAAAACACTATATCCGCGTGGTTATAACAGTCAGATGCGCAAAATTAGTCCGAGACACAACAACCACGATTCTCAGTCATAGAACATCCTACTTCGCTACCTAATCGTATAATCGTATCAACGGATGTTTTGCCAAAGAAAAGAAGACTACTGGTTCAAGGAAAATTTATTTAGTTTTTTAAATCATGGAAATCCATGTTTACAGTCACGGAAAAATCACAACTTCGAGGAAACCACCGATCATAAATTACAACCCGAAACGTTATTCTTCTTAATTAATGTCTTACCTTGAACTGGGATAGTTCGTACACTCACCAGATCATCGTATTTTATCCGCTTTGCAGCACATCGAATGGATGTTAACACTGGCTCTATTACGGGCAGTCCTAGTTCATGTATTTGGATCTAGTACATTAAGCAATAATAAGCATAAGTAACACTAACCCTTAAGGGTTTAGTTTCTTTCAGTTCCCCAAAATACACACAAGCACAACAGAGTCATGCTTTTCATGCTGCTCAACCTTGTATGACTTAGATCCCCTTACAACATATGTCTTTCTAGATGATAGCAGACACACTGATGGTATATTCACATTCTCAAAAAGCTTCAAAGCTTCTTCAACTTAAACCCCGGTTCTTAATTCTCCAGGATTATGTTCTTTGAAAACCTTGCTAATATCAACTTTGATCGTACTGTGCTCACCAGACTTACTGGTAAATTGTTGCATGCTGTAGACATAAACGTGAAAGACATTAGTTTTCCAGATTTCTACATGTTAAATAACTAAATGAGCCAGCAACAAAACCTGCAATCAACAAATGGATTGGAAACAACTGCTTCTACCAGCCAAACATCTTCATATGCATGATTTCCAAAACTTCTACACAGTACCAACTCATTAGCAGCTGAAAACCAACTAAAACACTGAAAGCCGCATAAATGCAAGATATGAAACAATTACACCGAAATGAATGCACTGACCTGGTAGTGAAAACTTTCGAAATTAAAGAAATAATTCATTTTAACAGCAACGGAAACGAAAAATGAGGTGAAACGCAACATTTGTGAACAATACGCAACAAGATAAGCCGTGTATAACGACAGGATAAACGGAACAACAAACGTGTACACGAACAGCTACGGAACTGCAACCCAACATGGCCGACTAACTTGAACGAAAATAACCTTTAAGCGTCCCACTCCACCAATGACCTTGATAAGTTACGGATAATTTCAGTCACGGTACTCTGTTTCCCAGAGCGTGTTGTGGTTAGGGCGGTGCTTTCGACTGTTCAAGGTCAAATGGTTGGACAGTAGAGATGATTCTTTTGTGATAAAAGCTCCCACTATCAACTAGGATATTTAAAATCCCGCTATGAGTAATAACTCGGCGGTTCGCTGCAGTAAGCTGTGTAGTTGTAGATGGCAAACGAAGGTGGTTTGGTGTCTGCAGCTGTTGTGCTACTTCATATCTTATTTACCTGGAACGGATTCTTACTTCTGTATAATTGGAGGTTACCTACTCCCACCTCACTTCAGACTATGGACTCTGCTCACATTTTCATTTTACAACTACTCACTTACGTTTCTTATTCTGGATATGTTGACTGTGTATCTCATGGACAAGTTGTTGTCCAATCCGTATAATTGGGTTGAGTTACTTAGGTTTAGTGTTTTGGTTAATCTTTCATCAGCTATCTGCGTCACTACATTTTATCTATTAGTCTCTCTTGTTATTTTCGATAAGAATATTTTGTATTCATATTCCATTTGTGGCCTCATCGGACTCTTGGGTGGAGTCACTGTACTTGGTCGTCAGATGTTATCTGATAAGTTAGTTGTCGATTTCCCTCTTGGTAAGGTACGGTATAAGCACATACCATTTGTGTGCACTTTGTTTTTTGCTGTTTTGTTCGGTACTGGATTCTGTGGAGGTGTCCCCTTATCAATTTTTGTAACTGGAATCTTTATTGCTTGGATGTACTTACGCTTCTTTCAAAGACACAGTAATGGTCTACATGGGGATGTGAACGACAGTTTCACATTTGCTGGGTAAGTTCGTCCTTATGTATTTCTTATCATCCAGCTTCTTTCCAAACCACCTAGGACCACCCGTCTCTGTGATATCTAGCGCAGTATTCAACGTCCTAGTTCGTTTTCGTGTATGTAAACCTCCACCTCCGAAGAATCTATCTATTCCTCCTTCAGTCGTCTCATTTACAGTGGATATACACGACACTACTCATGCAGCCAGCAGGTATAGTTCATCATTTTCCATTATTCCTTTGCTGTTGATTATGGTCATACTAAGAAACATGTTATTAAAATATTAATTTAATTGAGGGACAATTACAGTTGTAACAGAAAGCTGTTTGGTTAAAAAGTACTGTTAGAGAATATATCAGTCTGTTTTTTCTTATCCCATTACATTCATCTGAAATTGTAACGATCGCAACTCAGACCTTTTCTCTATATCTATCTTTATTTAATCCAACATAATGGTCTTCAAGATGTTAGGAAGCGTTTTAGAGTACCTTTTATAGTAGGTAGCAAAGTTGCCGAAATGGAGCTCTTCGAAGGTAGCAAATTTAGTGGCTTTTATCGACTCACTCGTCATACCAACCACTCCTGCCTTCGTAGAATTGTGTGCACTGAGTGCTATCAACGTACAAGTAATTCTAAAGTCTGACAGCATGCGACCGGACAAGGTGGAGATGCGTGTTTTGATCAATTGCGAACATGCCGAAATTCTCCCTTGTCTTTCACAAAGTAATATAAAGTAATAAACCATCCTCTGAATGTTCTTGATAAGTGTGTTTACCTGTTTTCTGATACCGTGGCTCATTTGTTCTGTTCCTATTTCCCATACATTGTTTTGCTATCTTCGTATATTTCATCTATCGGTGTCCATATTGCACCAAGCTTGAGTTTAAATAATACCTTTGTGGTGATTATTTGCCTGTTATATATATATATATATATATATATATATATATATATATATATATATGTATAATTGAGATAATCTTTCATATATCTTTGTCGTTAAACAAATTGTTTTTCTCTAAATTTGTGCAAACTATTGGAAACTTTGCAAACTACTTACATTGAAATTTCCAGTTGGTTCTGATATGAAATCCTTTATATGATCATTGTAGTATTTGAAGAAACCGTAAATAAATAGCTTATTCAGATTATTAACCGCCGTGGTTATTGACATAATGTTTGCATGTGTAGATATATTATCGTTACTTTTTCATTAATTTCTCCACTTATCTAAAATTACAATAGGTATCTTTCAACTCCAAGCATTGTAAACACTTGCAGCAGTCAGTCTGTACCAAAATCTGCTCTTACTCATTCACCTCCAAGTTTTCCAAGTGAATATACACGTTCCATACCAACTGGTGGTACTCCATTACCACCTATCCCACCTCCAATTTCTGTTTCAAATGAGGCTTTATCATCATGATACTGTATATCATTCCCTTGCACAATCAATTTGCATCCTGTGATATATAAACGTTTGCCCTTTTTTAGTTGGCTTTTGTATCCTTATTTACTTATCATTAATTCTCTAGTGAACAAATGAAGAGCACCCTTGTTATGTATGTAATGAATATATGTATGAGTCTTTTCTGTATAATCTCATATTTTATTCTGCGTGTGAATTTTTCATGGCTGTGAATTCTGCAATAAAGAATAAAAAAAATAAATTTACGTCGTCAAAGTCTTGTATTTTCTATCTGTCAACGTGTATAATCTCTAAGCATACTTCGGTATACAGTAATTGATTTATACGGGCTTTCGTTCTTCAGTTGTCGAATAAGTCTTTCTTCTGTTAAGCTTTTGAAAATTCGAATGTTATATTTTGCGCTAGAGATGTAGCTTGGTCTATTTTAGTAAGCTATGCATTATTACTGAGTTAATTTTACTCTCTAGAATACATCGTTTCTAATAAGTGAGTTCTTGAAAATGCTGAATTGAAAACATTGTTCACTTCTATGAGGTTTTATTATTAGTTTTCTTTTGAAGCAAAATTACCTAATAATTTGAAGCTGGGCTGTGAAGGTTAGATAATCTAAGGTCGTTTTGTCAATTAGAGTAGACGTATCTTCGGAAGATGAACCCATATGGTGAAATGCATTAATATTAGACAGAGTTCTTGAAAAGTCGTAAACTTTGTTCAATTATAAAATATTCTATGTGTTAGGAAGAAATCTACAATGATTAAACAGTTCCGTCTTATTCCTTTGTGTCTCCGAAGCGCATACACCGATGTGAATCCAGACATTGATGATCGTAACAACCTCTTGCTGGCTCCGAAAGCTATTTAAATCGATATACTCTACTCTCTTATTTGACAAACTTCTTCTGAAACTTATTTAGTCACCTAATTACACGAACTTTTTTATCATGTCTCATAGTTCTTTTGCTAGAGTGAATGCACACTGTTACGAAGGTGACTGAGTCTTAGAACGATGAGTGATGCTTGAATCTTGAAAAGACAAACGAACCAAGAATTTAGGCGTTATTTATTTAACAATGAAGCCGGAATAGCTTAAACGTATAAAGGGGAAAAAGAGAGTTAATAGCGGTAGAGATATGAATATGATTAGATACGTATTATAAGAAAAGTTCACAACACACACCTTTAGATCTTGTTAATTACTTTGCGATTAGATGATACAAAGCACACACTATGTGGACACTGATTACGTACAAGTTATATATCTTGTACATTGTTTCGTAGTAAGACGATGTGATGTGCACATTATTGGTGGGATAATCTCCCTGTAGTTAGAAGATCCATATCAACACCAGACTTACTCTTGAGAACTGTCTCTAGAATGTTTCCGAAGACTAAATTGAAAAATGATAATCAAGATTTGACTAACTGAGTTTCAGCTTAGAAATTAGCGCTGAAGTTCAACTCGCCACACTCTATAGCATACAAAGGTAGACAAAATGAAGGAAAACAAAATTCAAAGAAGTATTATAAACAGGAATATAAGCAGGAAAGAATAATAACACAGAAAAACATGAAGGTTCAGTGGATATGGGTGACCATATAGGTTGAGTGCATCTGCATCAGTGAAAAGGATACTTAATCGTAACACTAACAGCCAGTCTGCAGCCATTGGTTTTCATTGTGTTTTTCCGAACAAGCGAGAGGAAAATGTTCAAGGGTGTAAAAAAACATAGTCTGATGAGAGCTGTCTACAAGCCAAAATCGTAGACAAGAATTTACATCAATGTTCACGTCCCGAATCAGGGTCATGAGAAAGACTATAACCAAGCTTAACCTTGAGAAAATCACAGCGGAGTTAGAGTGTGGAAATATGATTCACAGATATATTAATTGGTTTTCTGAGAAACGACCACAGAGATGACAATAACTTTCAGCAAGAAAACAACCAATCAGTGGAGGTTGCTTTACCACTAATAATCATGCACATAAAAATCTATAAATACCTCTTGATTTCCTCAACAGATGATCTGTTGCCTGGCGCTTGTCTTCTGTCGTTACAATAGTACAACAATAGCTGTTACTGTTATCATAAGTTGTACAATTCGATTATAAGTGAAATGAATATTTTACGATTGATTATACGCAAACCTTGCACAGCTTATAAAACTGCAACGTTTGTCCGACTTTAATTAGTAAACTAATGTAGAAGTGAATAATGAACGTTGGAATATACGTATATATCCACCAAGCTGCCGGTGGCATTGTATTTATCTCGAATTGCAGAGATCGGAATTCATAAGCCTTTCAGTCGGTGACTGAATGGTCTATGAGCTTGCCTTGTAACCAGAAGGTCCTGGGTTCTAATTCCAGCGACTGCATACTAACGAAGAGTCCCAAACTAAGACTAAACAACTGTTCAGCACTCCGAGGTTTTCAAATGGCTTCTAAATGATATTGACTCGTGACCAGACCTGTAACCGATCAAATCCATGAGAAATAACACTTGTTTATATATATATATATATATATATATATATATATATATATAGGTGGAGAAAGAGATCGTTGGAATAATTATTAATTTTCTACAGATGAATTAGTGTTAAAGCTCGAGCAGATTTAAAAAGTCAGTTTATTATATCCAATCAAACTATTTTTTTTCAATTTTTGATTATAGCTTGAAACCACGCGGTATTTTTGGTACAAGTATAGAATTTTCAGCATATGATATCGGTAGCCCAAATTTTACAGGCCGACCATAGATATCTAGTGTGCGTCGGCAGGGGATCGAACCCCGGACCATGCGCATGGTCGGTGAGAGTCCTAACCGCTGTGCTACCGACGCACAGTAGCATGGTTTTAGGTGGTAAAGTTGACGAGGACATTGGAATTCCTGGTATAGTTTATTCCCTTTTCAAAAGTTAATTATTAGAGATTTTTAGAACAGTTTACCAAGGCTAACCGTACCGTTTTCAGTTAATCTACTCTTTTTTCTAGCAGTTCATATTTCCAATGAAGTACTTCTAAGTATCGATGAACTGCACCTCTTATTTATAACCTACAACAAATAATGAAACCGAGTCACTTCTTTAGTATATTTTAAAGTTGTCTTCCTAAATTAGTGGTTCATTATGTCTTATGAATCACTGGTACATGTTGTACCTATTCATAATCACCAACTTACTTACGCTTATAAGTACTAAATAATGACTCTTTGAAACGGTTTGTCTTAAACTATTATAAAAGGTTCACTGAGTTTCATTTCAAGAAATTATAGGTAATTCGCTGAAGGTATAATGATTCTGTCTATGTCCAGTTCTCTTTAATTTTTGTAGTTACCCATTGATGAAAAGTACCCTAACGATATGAAACAGCTTTTCATTCCATCTTAGTTCTTTGTGTTCATGTAGCTGAAAGTAACTTATAGAAGCAACTCGTATGATATTATCAATACAATATTGTTAACTGCAATGCTATCAGCTGACCTTATTAGGGGCAACAAATTGTGCTAGAAAAATCGCTTAGTAAAATTTTTGATTTTTAAATATGCTTATATCCACACATTTAGTGCGTTTGTGAAATAAAAAGTCATATCAACTCGTCTGTTTGGTTGCTGATCTATGGCATAGAGTGATGTGATTAATTATTCTACTGGTTGTTTGCATTCAGCTAACGATGACTGATTAGACTTTTTGTTAATACTGTATGTCTGAATTTCGGTTATTATGATAATAAACAACTACTGTTAAAAATCACCTTGTCCAAAGGTTATCTAGCTTACATGTTGTAGGTAGTACTTAGTGAGAAAACTACTTCTTAATGCAATTACACAACAGTCCAAAGACTATATTTCACTGCTACTTATCTTGTATGGGATTAGACTCTGCTACAGTGTTCAAGTTTCGCACTTATAGATTTACAACTGCATGTATCAAAACAAGATTGTCGTGGAACAATACAATGATCCAATAAATTGAACTCAAACCAGTAATCCTTAAATGTACAATGAATGCAGACATTGTCTTCAACAATTCATATTACCGACAATTACATGTGATCAATGATAAACTTCATTTTAGCTGATTTCTTCCTTCCAAGACTTGAGAAGCGACTATTGAAAGATTAATACATATGTAAAACTCGATCATTTTGGTAGTATGTAATTCCATACTAATTTGTCTATTAGATACATCACACAGCGGATGACGTTTTGAACACAAATTATTATTCATAATCATATCAATTATAATCACACGACTTAGAGTTTTATAGTTTTCTTTATTCTCTCCTATTTGTCGTGGTGGTAGCAGGATTTTCCAGATGTTGAATCACACCTATTACCCGTATTTGCAGTTGATTCGATAAACAAAACTTCTGTCATCAACCTTCCCCTCCATCCTATTACATAAGATTTTGAAACTGTCATCTAATCCCATGCTACTGTATGGTTGTGTTTTGTGTAATTAGATGTAGTATTATGGC